TAGACGTCTATTTCAGTCTACATTAATTTGTGTTTACCAAAATAAATTATTTTCAAATTAAAATTAACTAAGCGGTAAGTGAAAATGAATTTTGGAACCTATTTTTCCATATTGGCGCCGATATTTAGGGTATAGTAGATTTCCAGTAATGTCTACTTATATGTAGACGTCTATTTCAGTCTACGTTAATTTGTGTTTACCAAAATAAATTATTTTAAAATTAAAATTAACTAAGCGGGAAGTGGAAATGAATTTTGGAGCCTATTTTTCCATATTGACGCCAATATTTAGGGTATAGTAGACTTACAGTAAAGTCTACTTATATGTAGACGTCTATTTCAGTCTACATTAACCAATTTAACCTAACCGAAGAAATTACACAGCATATAAATAATTTTTTAGGGTTTTCTGGTAAAAAGAATCCTAATCACGCCATTTAGATCTGAGGCGGTTTAGGGGGCGATTTCCGGTGAGATTTCCGGCGAACCCTCTTCGAGTCCGTTTTCACACCCAGCCACCTTCCTCTCGGAATCACCATTCACCACCACGACCATCACCACTATCCTCTCCCATCCTTCAGCCATCTCCACCTTGTCTCCTCCTCAAGAGTCTCTGCATCTCTTATTGTTTTGATTGAAGTGTTCAATTTTCGTTCTAGGGTTTGTCTATGTTCAATTTATTTGCTGTAAATTGAAATGCATATGTCGTTGACGAAAATTGATGAAGTGTTATGAGTTAATACATGTTTGTAGTGTACAAGCATGTGTTGTGTTTTATTGATTTCTCTGGCTCTTTTTGTTGCAGGTTGCTCCCAGAATTTTACTGCAGATTACGTATTTGTAGACTTTCACTGCAGACTACGGATTTGTAGACTATCTTATAGGTCTACATTAATTTAGACTGAATATACAGTTTACATAGAAAAATCTATTAAAAATTGGATTTCTGTATTGTTTATTTTAGGTTTCAGATTCTGTTTAGAGAAACATTGATTGTTCATTATATTTTCGGATGCATTGTCTTAGATTCTGTATAGAGAAACACTGATTTTTTATTATATAGTTGGATGAATTGGGTTAGCTTAAGCTTGTTTTACTCCTTATTCTGGTCGTATGTTCTATCTTGTTTCGTACTTCTGGTTCACAAGGCTTAATTTTTAGATGTTTTGATAGCTTCCCTCGTAGACACCTTATAAACTTGTGTTACTCTGTTTAGGTTTGCTTGGTTTCTGCAACTCTTCCTCACAATCTTTAGTCTTGGACAAGCAGTTCCTCGTCTGTCAAGTCTAGCTGAAGGTAATAGCAGGAGTCAAGTAAATCTTTAGGCTCGTACTCTGTTTCTTTATTGTTTAGAGATACCATTACAACATAAAGTATTCACATGCCAGGTATAAAAGATCTCTAAAGTTTGTCTCTTTTTGTTGTGGGTTAAAGATTGTTGATGTCTGATGTTAGGGTCCATATGGAATCTTGAAGAGCTGTTTGGTTCATTGATGATGACAAAAGTTCATTCCTTTAGCTTAGAACAACTTTAAAGTTTGTTTCTTACATTGTGTTTTTAATGGGTTTNCACATGCCAGGTATAAAAGATCTCTAAAGTTTGTCTCTTTTTGTTGTGGGTTAAAGATTGTTGATGTCTGATGTTAGGGTCCATATGGAATCTTGAAGAGCTGTTTGGTTCATTGATGATGACAAAAGTTCATTCCTTTAGCTTAGAACAACTTTAAAGTTTGTTTCTTACATTGTGTTTTTAATGGGTTTTAGGAATGATTACAGCTTCAGCTGATTGCTCTATTCTAGCCACCGATGTGGAGACTGGTGATAGTGTTGCACATCTTGAGAATACTCACGAGTAATTCAGTTCCCCTTTTAAAACAATTTGACACACTTTCTGGTTTTTTTTTCTAGGATAAAGCATTTAGCATCACTTCTTGGATGTAGGTAATGGATTCTTTAAAGAGCAAAAGTATCTCAGATCCATCCTCACAGAGTCGCCACCACCACCGTCAGTCTCGTCATAATCACCACTGGTCACATCTCTGTTTCTTCACTCTCTGAAGTTGAATCATTTATAAGAGTGGTTAGGATGTGTTTTTTGATTACTACAAAAAGACTTGAACTTCAATTGAGAAAATCTATGTGAGTTTCATGCTTTACTCATAGCTTCTAATCTTGACTATTGTCACATAAATCAGATGTGTAGTGCTCATTAATCACTGTCAAGTCCTGTGTATCATACTCTTAGTTTAGTTATGGTCGTTTTTTCCCCATATTATTCTGATTTGTTTTGTTGAATCTGACTTCTTTTGTTTTGTTTTCTGTGATTAACCTCCATTATTCGTTGATGGGACATGAAGAGTTGAAGAAGACCTTGAGTTGTTGAAGAAGTCTACGGTGGAAAAAGAAGATGAAGCTGCTGGAGTCTTCAATTTTTTTAGGTTTAGAATTTTTTAAAGATTTGGTTTGGTGTAAACCAAGTTGGGGAAATTGTGGTGGTTTTGACTTTAGTTTCTAATTATTGGTTTAGTTTTGTAAACTAGTTTTAATTTATAAATAAAATTTATTAGTCTTCTTTCTTGTAGACTTACAAAGAAGTCTACTTGACACAGAAAAATATAACATAAGTTTATCACATTAGACAACATCCAAAGCAACTATATAGTTTATAAGTTCAACACAGACTAAAGACCTACAAATCCAATAGAAGACAACTCAAAGCAATGAGACACTAATACATAATAGAACATCCATGGCAATAAGACAACTCATAAGTTTGACACATAACACTAACACATCTAGAGTTTTTCACCACCCATTCTCTGTATACAACGAGTAATTGAGCCATCTCCGGCAAAAAAAAATACCGTTTACATAATTAGCAAACAAAAATTTCATGTTTGATAAAATTATAAAATAGACTTACAAGTACATCTACAATTATTAGCAAACAATATAGTTAAACCAAAAATTATATTATAGACTTACAAGTACGTCTACAAATTTTAAGCTAACAACATAGACAAACAAAAAATTTGATAACTTCCTAATTATAACAGATTATCTTCTGAAAATCATTCAAGACCCTTATGATTAACTAATACACACTTTCATAAAAAAAAAAAATTTTAAAAAACTTAATGAATAATACACAAATCCACTTTTGATAGATTTTTCTAGGTAGACTACATATCCAGTCTACAAATGTATAGACGTTTTATTCAGTTTACACTTTGAAGACTGCAAATTAGGTCACGTTTAGGTTGGTTTTTGCAATTTTCAAATTCACGGGTTACTTTCTGTATTTGAAAAAAAGATGTGATTTTATACGAGTAGACCTATTTATTAGTCTACATTTTTAAAAAGGTTAGTTTTGCAATTGACCAGAATTCGTTCAGAGTTTGACTTTTAGAAGTAGACTTACTATGCAGTCTACATTTTTAAATTTGTTTGAAAGAGGTTAGTTTTGCAATTGACCAAAGTTGACTTTCTACTAGAAGACAAAACTAAATGTCTACGTAACTGTAGACTGCAGTAAAAGTCTACACTATAACCCGACATGTTAGTTTTGCAATTGACCAACATAAAATAGTAGACTTCATATGCAGTCTACTTTTTTTTCCTAAGATTTGTGGACTGCATATGAAGTCTACACATAAAGTAAGTTTTAGTCAGTTTCTAAATATTTTAGTCAAATACAAAAGAAACCTATTCAACGAAGTCAAAGTTTTGGTCAAATGCAAAACTGACCTTCCGTAGACTTCCCTAGCAGTCTACAAAGTGTAGACTTCTAAGAAAGTCTACTATGGTAAGTCAAAATTTTGGTCAAATGTAAATCTAACCTCTTTTATGTAGATTTCCTAGTAAGTCTACCAATTTTTTTTTGTTTTTGGTTTCAAAGGTAAAGAAGTTGACGTACTTGTAGGTCTACATTACAAAAAAAATTATTTTGGTCAATTGCAAAAGTAACATGTGCGTTGACAAGTAGACTGCATCGTAAGTCTACACGTAAGTGTAGACATATAATACAGTCTACTTTCACGATACATATTAGAGATAGGACGAAAAGCATGTAAATAGTTACCTTAACACTGGTTTAAAGCTTGTTTCCAAGCTTTTCCACTGTCCAGAATCCAAATATGAGCAAAAGAAGTAACTGTAACGATTCACTTGTGAATAAAATCGAAACTATGAAGTTTGTGTTTATGAAAATGAGAGTTATGAGGATTGTTTAGATGAAAATAGAGGAAATGAGAGGAAATGAAGTATTGTTTGTTTAAAAAGTGAATTAAGTGGTTGAAAATTCATAAACACAAGCTTAAAGAGCTTATCAGTGGTGGTTTTTGGTAGTTGCAAATATTGATGACAATGGCATTGTGGTAAATAAGGAGAAATGTTTAGGGTGTAATAGGTTTTTAATAATTTTTGAAAATAATATCATATTAAATAATAATGGCAATTTGGTAAATAGTTAGAAACATGAGGAGAGTTTAGGTTTTTTAAGAGTGAATAGTAATGACCAAAAAAGGTTGATTTTGTGTTTGACTTGAATTTTTGGGTTGGTTTTGCAAAACTTCCATTTATTAATTTAAGCTTATTATGCGGTTTTATATTATTTTGTGTGATTTCGAACAAAAAGAATCGATATTGGTGATGAGTTAAATACTACTAACTGTCGGTCCAATAGTTTCAAATTACTAAAAGTTTTTTAAATTTTTTTACTATTGAATATTTTTGAGGTTTTTATTAAAGTATATAATTACATGAAAAAATGGAAATGCAAGAAATAAATGAAAATAAAAAATAAATCAAAGAAAAATCTAGCTCACCCAAATCGGGTAGATTTGAAACAAAAACCCGATTTATTTAATATCTTATATATAATATAAATTTTATTAAAACTTTGTGAATTAATTAATTCAATTAATGCTTGCTAAATGCAAATTTTATCAAGTTAACTGCATAGAAACATTAGTCAATTTCATCATAAGCATTTCACCATTGTCAATCCTAATTTTACTAAAATAATAATACAAACTAGAAAATTATTATTATTTAAAAAAAAGTTTTATTCAAAATATTTATTAGTAAAATTTTAGAAATAAAGATAAAATTCTTACAAATTTATCGTTATTATAGAATTTTTCTATTTTAAGAAAAAAAAACAGAAGAATAAATTATAGATGGTCTCAAATAAGTACTCCTAAGAAATTTCCTAAAACTTCTTCTCACACTTGTCAATACATTAGTTAGACATTTGATTTTAATTATATATTTTTTTGATCAAACCACATCTTTCATTAAAACTTAAACACCTACAAAGTTTCCAATCCACGAAGGATTGCTTGAAAACAAAAAGAGCGCATGTTTAGCAAGCATGTCCGCTTGTACATTGCCCTGACGGGAAACAAAACGAAAAGAGATAGAGGAAAAGGATCTTCTCAACACGCTGAGGTCTTGGAGGATTCCTTTCAGTTCAATCACAGACTTGTTTCCTGTGATAATTTCGATGAGGTTTCTAGAGTTCGAGAGACAAACCACATCTTTGATTTCAGCAGAGCCCGCCACTTGGAGCCCCACTTTTAAAGCCAAAGCTTCTGCAACTAAAACCGACGGCACCGCTCGCCGAGTAGAACTTCCTTCGAAAGTGATTCCACCGGCAGAGTCTGTAGCAACCCAGCCAAGTCCACCTGCATAAGATGAGCCATTCCACGCTGCATCTGAATAGATGGAAGTAGCAGTTGGAGGTGTTTCAGTCACCAAGTTCGAGGTTGTTAAGTCTTTAGTAGAAACATGGGATGTCTTAGCCGTTTGGTTGATCTCTTGCCATTCCTTCGCCGCCTTAATAGCGTTAGACATCACTTCTGATTCCGAGAAAGACTTCTTTTCGAACAATAATTGATTCCTGGTAGTCCACAAAACCCAGAGAATCCATGGGTATAGGGGAGAGGACAGACCTGAGGGAGGTAGATTGATCATCTTAACACAATCGCTCAGCAAATCGTCCATTATTGGAGCCAAACCCCATACACTCTGTGCAAAGGGGCATTGGTCCATGATATGAATCACAGTCTCGTTGGCACCACATCGCTTACACTTTCCATCGACTTGTATTCCACACTTTAGGAGAGTTTCCCCAACAGCTAAATCCTTAACTTTTAGTTTCCAGAGGAAGTGTTTCCTTAACTTTTAGTTTCCAGAGGAAGTGTTTCAGTTTGGGTGAGCACTTGACACTCCAAATGCATTTGTTCTAGTTGAAAGTATCTAACGGGTTGCCAACACTATTGATCTTCGACGCCGCATACCCTGACTTGGTTGTATATGTTCCTGCTCTATCAAATAGCCAAACCAGTTCATCTTTCATCTCCAGCAAACTCGGGATCAACTTCAAGATGTGATCCTCATACTGAGGTAAGTGTAGTTTAATCTGATCAACATCCCATTCTCGAGATGGATTGATGAGTTCCTTCACACACATGTTTTGCGAAAGAAAAGTCGGCGGGCCTATGGGACATAGTTTCTCTTTTGTAGACAACCAGTTATCTTCCCAGATTTTAACTGATTCTCTATTCCCAATAGCCCACCCTAACCCTCTCTTTAGGATTTCTCTTCCTGCCAGAATCCCTCCATCCATGTGAGGATGAGTTTGGTGCATAACAAGTAAGCATGTCCCTGTCCCTGCAATATTTATTCAACAAAGTCTGTCCCAGCAAAGAGGAAGGATCCTTGAGTAGCCTCCATGTGTGTTTAGCTAGGAGGGCATCATTGAAAACTTCAATTTCTCTGAAGCCTAGTCCCCCCGCATTCTTTGGGAGCGTTAGCCTTTCCCAAGATATCCAACACATCTTCCGTATTTCCGGTTTGGCGTCCCACTAGAACCTTGTGAGAACCGACTGTATTTGTTTGCATAAAGACATGGGAAGCTTGAAACAAGACATCGCGTATATGGGCATTGCAGACAAAATAGATTTTAGGAGCACCATCTTTCCCGTTCCAGAAAGGTATCTTGCTGTCCATCCATGCGCTTTCTGCTTTATTTTGTCCACAATTGCAGAAAAAATATCTCGTTTTTTCCTTCCAAAGTTCTCTGGAAGGCCGAGATACTTGCCGATTCCCCCATCATTGCTTATATTCAGCACTGCCTTTACTCTTATTTTACACTCCTGGTTCGTTTTAGACGAGAATGTTATGGCTGATTTTCCCCGGTTTATACATTGTCCCGAAGCCTTCTCGTATCTGTCGAGTATAGAGAGTAATGTGGCGCAGCTGGCCACATTTGATTTTCCAAAGAACATGGTATCATCCGAAAATAGGAGGTGGTTTATTGGGGGGGCAGTTTCTTGCAACTTTGACTCCCGGCAGTGTTCCTTTGATCTGAGCTTGTTTGCACAGTCCCGAGAGTACTTCTGTGCAAAGAATGAAGAGGTACGGTGAAAGAGGGTCTCCTTGCCGAAGACCTCTTGAGGGTTTGACGTTTCCCTGCAGGCCTCCATTTATGAGGAAAGTGTATGACACGGATGAGACACATTCCATAAGCCATCCCGTCCAAATGTCAGGAAGCCTAACCTTTTAAGAACCTTTTCCAGAAAACTCCATTCAGTCCTATCATACACCTTACTCATATCCGTCTTAACCGCCATGGAAACATGTTTCTTCGCACTCGAATGTCTCAAGTAATGTAGGATTTCGTGAGTAATCAAAACATGATCTGAGATAGCCCTACCTGGGACAAAGGCTGATTGAGAAGGCGAGATCAAGGACTGGAGCAACGGTTGAAGTCTCTTTGATATAATTTTTGCGATTATCTTGTAGTGTGTAGTACACAGTGCGATAGGTCGATAATCAGAAACTCGCTTAGCTCCGGTACTCTTTGGGATAAGCCTGAGATGAGTTTCATTTTGTCTTGGATGCAGAATGCTTGTCTCTAAGAAAGCTCTGACATCTTTGTATACATCATCTCCAATAACGTCCCAAAAAGATTGATAGAATCCCGCAGAAAAACCATCCGGCCCTGGTGCTTTCCCGGAATTGATAGAGAAAGCTGCTGCCTGCACTTCTGCCTTGTCAGGGATATTTATCAGTTTGGCGTTCATCTCCTCAGTAACCAGTGGCGCTTCGTTAATCACTTCAGTTGCATCCGAGCTTCCAGCCGTAAACAAGTTTTGATAGAAGAGAGTGAAAGCTCTAGCAATTTGGTTCTCAGTATAGAAGACATGACTAGCTTCATCTTCGATAACTGTAAATTTGTTGCAGGCCCGTCTTCCTCTTGTTACCGCATGGAAGAAGCTAGAGTTTTTATCACCTCCATTTAACCACTGAATTCTGCTTCTTTGCCGCCAGAATTCTTCTTCTGCTGTGTAAGCTTCGCTCAGGATTTGTTTTAGCGCTTCGATCTGTTGCTGGTTTGGGTTTGCGTTTGATAGCTCCTGCTCAAGCAACATTTGATTTCTCATTAAATGTTCTTTGCTCTCCGCAGTTTGTATCTTAGCCCATTCCACCAAGCTTCGCCTCACTCGTCCTATCTTAGTTAGTACCGAGTCTGAGTCAGTGGCTTTCCAAGTTGATTCCACTAATTCGCGGACCTCAGGCTTATCGCTTAGGGTTCTGTCATAGCGAAAGAGGCCTTTTTTCTTCTTGAGGTGATCATCAAAGTGAACCATGAGCGGTCGATGATCCGATCCTTCAAACCTCAAGTATTCACTTCTAGCTGCTGGGAACATCTCCATCCAATCAACATTAGCCATTGCCCTATCCAAACGGGATTGAATGAAGTGTGTGTATCTTGTTCCCCTCCACGAGAGAGAGTTACCAGAGAATTGTAAATCCCACAGTACGTTCTGTGAAACAAAGTTTCGGAAAGATAGGAATGATCCTTCCCATCTGAGCGGACCGCCCACTTTCTCGGAGTTGTCTAGCAAATCGTTAAAGTCCCCTGTGAGCAGCCATGGAACATTCCTTTGTGCACCTATCTCCGACAACATCTCCCAGAAATGAGGTCTATCTTCTCTGTTCGGTGCTCCGTAAATATAAGACACAAAAAAAAAAGATTTTTTATTGAAGTCAATTTTCGTGTCGATAATGTTTGCTGAAGCATACAAGATTTCCAGTTGGACACTGTCTTTCCATGATAGAGCTAGACCACCACTAAGACCCTCAGGGGGTACAGTGAAGTGATTTTTAAAATCAGAGCCCTTGTACACCTTGAAAACTTCTTCATCTTTCTGCTTTGTCTCCATGAGGAACATGATATCCGGAGAGTTTTTTGAGCGAAACTCTCGTAGTCGACGAACTGCCAGGTCGCTCCCCATTCCCTGACAGTTCCAGCTCAGGTTGACTAAGGAAGCGGAGCTGGACCGGACCGAAAATCCAATCCTTTTCTCCTGGAAGCAGGTATCAGGGTAGTACGCGGTTGCGTTCCTGTCGAAGTAGTAGCACTTGAAGTTTGTTTCCTTTCTTCGCTTGATGTTTTCCTTCTTGGGGTGTATTGAGTTTTAGTTGTTCTCCTTCTCTTTACGTTAATTCCCTGAGCGCCCTGTGTTGAGCTTCTCAACGTTCGTTTCTTTTCCGACTGAGTTCGAGCAGTAGAAGAATTAGGAGGTTTTGAACTTTTGCTCCTTATCAGACTCGGCATATCATCTTCTGGCGCAGGGAGTATCGGTCCAAGTCTCAGTGAGACATGAAGTCTGTCCTCACTAAGAGTCTGGATAGGAGATCTGTTCTGATTCGGGTCATACTGATCCCTTTCATGAGGAGTCGGGTTTCTTGATCCAGAAGGAATGTTACTCCCTCCGGGGAAGTTGGGAGAAATTACTTCTTCTAGAAGCTGAATATTAACCTCTTGTAGTCTGCCCGATTCCGCATTTGCTATCCCATCCTGTAACAGAGGAACGCGTTCTGCTGGAAGGGAAAGGCGACCAAGAGCAGACCTTCGTTCCTATGATGGGGCGCTTCCATTTCCTGACTTGTTTCTGGATACAGGGGTAGTGATTCGATCCAACACTCCCCCTTCCCTTGGGGGTCGTGGAGAGGGAGTGTGGGAGTCGATGGAGTGGAGAGACTTCGAAGGATTGTCTCTATGGCTTCCACTAGCTCTGGTCTCCACTCAGTTCTTTGAGCTTGGGTTATTTGTCGAGAGTGAGAATCCTTGTTGGATATTGAGGAGTTATCCCGAGAGAAGGAGAGTCTTTCTTCGGCTGGTGTTCGAGGTGGGTTGCTCCTCTCTGTTGGTGGACCCTCATTCCTAAAATTCGGATCTCTTCTCGCCCCATAGTCATATCTGAAGTTTCTGTCCCGATTCCAATCAAACGATCGGGAAGAGTTGCTTTGCTCAAGTTTAGCATTTTCATTGTGTCCATATCTTGATAAGTGTCTGTTTGTAGGTCTGGCCTGGATTCTAGCATCCTGTCTTCTCTTATCGGCATCAAGCCTGTCGAGTGTTCTGGTTTGTGATATGCCCATCCTTATAGGAGCAGCACGGTTCTGATTGGCCTGAGCTCTGAGAGTTGGGCAGTTTTCTTGTTCATGTGAGAGCGAGTGACAAGCAAAACAATGCTTCTGTAAATTCTCATATTCCAGCTCGACTTGCTTTATTTCCCCAGAAGGGAGACTGATGTCCAGGAACATTTCTAACGGTTTCAGCCCGTTAACCAACACTCTGATCCTTCCTCTGCCCACATCGAAGTCCTCCACTGGACCAAGGTCATTCCCTATTGCTTCAAGGGCTCCATCTGTCCAGTAATGTAATGGCATTCCATGAATTGTAACCCAGAACGGGATCAGTGCTGGAAAGTAGTCGGAGACAATGGGTTCCCACCTTTGCAGTATCAACATCCATCTCTTGAAATGATATGGCGCATCAGAGAGAATTGAGAATAAGTCTTGTTCAGTTTCAAACTTAAACTGAAACAAGTTTGGGCCCAGATCTCTACCAGTGATTGTACCTCTGACCTTCCAGTGTTGAAGGAAGAATTCCACCAAAACTCTGGTTTTTTGGATCGCAGGATTTGTATGTTCTTCTATTAAAGTTGCGGTATCTCCTTGTAGAATCTTCACTGGTGGCCGTTTGGCAGCTTTTGTAGGGTCAGTCACCCATTTTCCTTTTTCGAGTCTTAAACTCCGATATGCCATTTATCGAGAGTAGAAAGTGGTTGCTTGTCTTTACTGCTTGAGATGATTAAGAGTAAAAAACCCACTCCTTGGGTAAATCCTTAGTGAGAAGGTAAAAAACTATACTCGACAGTAAAAGATACACTAGAGCAGAGAACGCTTTAAAAGCTCAGCCACAGAAGGGACAGAACTTTGAAGTGTTTTACTACAGGGGACATTCCCTCTTTCCAGATCTGCAACATTTGGCTCATACTTTGCCAATTTTGAGACTGTAGAGAAGAAGCCCGTGCTCTAGGGAGTTGAAAGTTCCGTGAAAATCAGTCGCCGGAAAGTAGTTGCGGTGGGGGGTTACTGTTAAGTGGTGGACGAGAAGGTATTTGCGGTGGTTAAGTGGGGGGGGTTGACTTTTCTTGCTGACCTCGAAACTAGTGCCTGGGAGCATTTAAAATTTCGAAACTTTTAGTTTCTCTAATAATTTGTTTTGTTTTACCTTGAGATACCCATTTTAATTATATAAACATAACAAATAACATAATATTACGTAGTTTGCTTTTAAGAACTTCATCTTGAGAGTTTGACCGTTGAGGTTGATCTTACCAAAGTCTCATCCAAATGTCATCTACAAAGCTTCATCTATTTCGGCTCGCAGCTTTTCTGAGTACAATAGCAACAGGAGTCTTTGCGTCAGACTCACTTCAATGCTGCAACTCCATCATCAGCTTCGGCGACTCCATCTCCGACACCGGAAACTTTCTTCTTCTCTCAGATCCAAATCGTCTTCCAAGAACCGCATTCCCGCCTTATGGAGATACTTCTTCCACCGTCCCACTGGTCGTTACTCCGATGGTCGCCTCATCATCGATTTCATCGGTACAATTTTCTCTCCATAGTTCCTAAACTAGCAACTATACAAGTATGCACACATGTATACGATCACTTCTCCATCTCACAGCTGAGTTCTTGGGGTTACCGTACGTTTCCCCTTACGTTGGACATGAAAACCAAAGCTTTGAGAAGGGAATCAACTTCGCCGTGGCCGGAGCAACGGCGGTGGAACCCGAGTTGCTTAAAGAGAAAGGAATCACTGCTAATTACATTACGAATGTAAGCTTGAAAGTTCAGCTAGATATCTTCAAGAACATTTTATATGGCTTGCCTTCAGGTGGTTCTCACTAATATATCCTCCCTCCGTTCCTAAAAGATCCATGTTCTGGAAAAATATTTTGTTTTAAAAGATGTATATTTTATGTTTTCTATGAGAAAATTACAAGTTTCAAAAAAATTAATTGGTTTTATTAGACTACTATTGGCTAAAAGTTGTTGAAAATTGAAAATTACTGAAAACGATAGTGATTTAATGTGTTTTCTTAATATGTGCGAAAACACTAGAAAGTGTATCTTTTAGGAACAGAGGGAGTATATACTAGGTGATTTTCCCGTGCTCATGCACGGATTGAATATTCATAAAAGTAAAATTTTATAATAATTGATTGATATTTAGTTTTAGTTTTGAATCAATATTTATATATAATTTATATTAATAAATATTATATTATTCTAATTATACATAGGACTTTGGATATATTTTTGTCAATTTAATTATTTTTTTGATCAATAGTCGGTTTGGTTATCAATTTGATATATTGGATAATATCTATTTTTCAAGTTCAACTATAATATTATTTATTCTAAATATATTAAAACGTTGATTAATTTTCTTATTTTCATTTCGGTTGGTTATTTTCTTAGATATGTAAATATATTCTTAGATATGTGAATATACTATGGTTAAATTATGTATAACTTAATAGATATTGTGCTTAATATGAAATAAATAATAAGCTGAAGTGTTTTATTTAAAATTACATAAATGAATATAATGATAATATTTTGAAGTCTCATGCATATATATAAATTCTACAAAAGAATTAAATTGTAATTGGTTAATATTTTCTTTTTCTTTATAATATGATTTGTGTCAACCTCTAATTTATATGTATAAAATTAAATATATTATTATAATAAATTATATATTCTTATTGTAGTTAGATGTTTAATTTTGGATATAAATTAGATTAGTCGAGTCATTCATTTTGTGAGTATATTGAGTTAAATATATTTTTAAATTAAAATTGAAGTATAATTACTTTTTATTTTAGTTAAGTCAAATCAAATTAGTTTTATGTAACGCTTAAATATACATGTATTTTCATAATATTTATTACTCTTTATTTTAGTTAAGTCAGATCAAATTATATTTTCATAATATTTATCAAATTATATGTTGATTTCTAAAAAATATTAGAAATAAAGTGTAACTGATAAATTTTTGGATGTTCATGAACATATATATTTTTATTATTTTGAAAATATATTTTATGTTATATATTAATAGAGGTATTAATATTTTGTGAACTTTCCTTTTTAAGAAAGTCATATTATATACATATAATTTTGTTTTTAAATTTGTATTAAAATTTTAGAAATATTTCCTTTTTATTATATATGTTATTTGGAAAAAGGTAAAAAAGAAATTACATAAGAAAAAATTAATAATAATCTTATAATTTAACAATTTATTAAAGGTATCTATGTAATCAACCATCAGAGTTGACGTGAGCACGACACGTAGGAAACTGACTTTTCAAGTAATATTATAGAGATATATTAATATATATATATACAAATAAATAAGTTCATCTTCAAACACAATGAACAAGCAAAAAGACGAAGAAGCTCACTTTTGTTTTCAAGATTGCGCAGGACTCTTGGAAACTCGTTGTTTCTCGTTGGAGAGATTGGAGGTAATGACTACAACTACGGGTTCTTGATGGGGAAAACAATCCAAGAGATCAAAGAGATAGTTCCCCTTGTCATAAATACTATTTCCTCAACAATTGTGGTAATAAAATATTTCTCAGTAAACCCTCTTTATTTTCTTGTAAGCATGAACAAAACACGATACATATTAGGAGAGATCTGTGACTAGATAGATACTTGTGTATGGACTAATCTAGAAAACCGCTGGTGAATTGTTTGTTTCAATACATAGGAATTGTACAATCTGGGAGCAAGAACGTTTCTAGTCCCTGGAAAGTTCCCAACCGGATGCTCTCCTTCCTGTTTAACCAGATTTAGGACAACATACACAACGGATTACGACTCTTTAACCGGATGTCTGAAGAGGCCTAATGAGTTTTCTGAGTACCACAACGACCAGCTCCAGAAAGAGCTCATTAGACTCCAAAAGTTCTATCCCAATGCCACCATCAATTACGCTGACTACTACGATGTTGTGTTGCAGTTTTACCATGAACCCACACAATACGGTGAGCCTCCTAGTTCCATTCCCCTTAATTACATATGTTCATAACTATTATTTAATTTTACCAAAACTTCTTTATTGCAGGATTCATGGAGAAACCTTTAGCCGCTTGTTGTGAAATAGGTGGCTTGTACAACTTCGCTGCTGATAGGCCTTGTGGGTCTGAAGGAGTTGAATGTTGTAATGATCCTTCAAAGTATGTGAGTTGGGACGGCATTCATTTAACAGAAGCCGCACACGGATGGATGGCTAAGAGCTTGCTGAATGGACCGCTTGCGTTTCTGGTTTCGACCAGGCCTGCATTTCCTCTTGTAAGTGATTTGATCAGTGTCTCTTGAGCACTTGTAACAATTTCTGCGAACAAACTTCCTTGAGTGGATTTTTTTTTTTTGTTCATTACTCTTTACATTGTGTTTAAATAGTTTCCCGAAGTATTGTGAAACACAGTTACTAGCTTGGAACAAATATAGTAACTGTGTTTTTGTCCGCGCGTAGTCTTTACTATAGTGAAGACATTTAGCAAACATGCGATGAACATCATTATCCTAGGGTCTCTTAATTAATCCCCTATATATCAAAAGAAAAGCATTTTTAAGCGTTTCCATAATTGTCTATTGGTCGTGTTTGATGTGGGTGTCGCAGAGAGTGTCTCTCACAAAACGGCGAATTTAATGCAAAATTTTGTTTCTTTTTTTCTTATATATTTTTTTGTTCTGTTATTATGAAAGGACAAGTAATCACGTAGCTGACTAAAAAATAAGAAAATGGAGAATGATAATCACGTAAGAAGAGCCATGTCTTCACGTAAGAAGAGCCATGTCTTCACAACGATGCGTGGGTCAAGAGGGTTTAGTGAGGTTATCCCTTGCGTGGATTTCAATCACTAAAAAGTGTTGTTGATAGAACTTTCATGAGAAGAGGGAGATCGTTGAAGCAATTGTAACTCTTTTGCCGAGTGACGAGAGAGGATCAATCATCCCTCTCAATTTCCTCCTTAGAATGTTAAAGATAAGAATTACATCAGATATAGATCTGCCTGAGCTAGAACGTAGAATACGTCAGCAGTTGTAAAGCGTGAGACTTGATGATCTGCTTTACCTTCAGTAGGAAGGGAAGAATCCATGTACGATGTGGATACTGTCTATAGGATGCTCACTTGCTTTCTTGAGAGCGTTGATGAAGAAAATAAGGAGAGTGATTATGATACATACTCCACTGGTCATCACCATGGTTCGTTGCTGAAAGTGGGAAGGATCATGGATCAATACCTATGTCTACAGAAGTTCACAGCCGTTATTTTGCCAAAACAAAGTTCACAGCCATTATAGAGAGGTTACCTGATTATGCACGTATGTAACTCCTTTCAAATATATCCATACATATGTTGATTATTCCGATCCAAATTTTATATGTTTTGTTTAAAATGATGGTTTGAGGTTATTTTGTTATGAGTTTATGTATTTGATCTGCATGAACCTTTGCAAACAAGCATTGAGCAATAGATTGCTCCTAAACTTTCACATAGCTGATTTTGGCAAACACCTGTTCTTTCAAGTTTGCAAATAATATTTAGTTTTATAGTTTTGTATAAACCCATGTGAGCGATATGGACCTCCTAAGCCTGGGCAATATATCCGAGAACCGATCAACGGATCGGAACCCGGTCCGATTAAGCCGGTATGGGTCGGTTTCTGATTTTCTTAATAAACCAAATGGTTCCTGATTTGGTTATAATGGATGTCGGTTCGGATCGGTTTAAAATACGACCACCAATTGAGTACATCCAAACCCCGATCAAGACACAACCATATGTCTAATCCTACCTCTTTTGTCTTTCACCTTTGTGTCACTTTATATATTTGTGTGTTCTCCATATTGTTTAATCAAAAGTCTTCAGATTTAGATAGCATTTTTTTTGTTGAGTTTAGCTCAACTTGTTAATAATTAGGTTAGAGTGATCGGCGTACATATAACTATGAAATCAGAAGACCCAGAAAAACGTCAAAAAGATGTCAAATGTTTGTTTTGTTAGTGTAATACAATTCACAGCAAACCAGATCGTCATGCGACACTTAACTAACAACACCATTAGTACGTAGATTTTCTTTTGCTAATCATCATGATTTTTTTTAGTCGAATAGAGTACAAATTAGTGCTTAAGAACCGAACAACCGTTTAAGAACCGAAAGCCGTATATATTTCAGGTTCAACTGGGTTTAGCCAAAGTTACAAAATCCGAACCGAACCCGATAAAATCCGAACCGATATCGGACCAAACTTTTATAATATCCGAATGAGGTTAATTTTCGTAAACTCGAAACCCGATTGGATGCAAACCGAAATCCGATTGGTCCCCCGATTGCCCAGGCCTAGGACCTCCATCTCAAAGCTTTACTCATGAAAAATTATAAAGATATGAGTTCACTATGATAATCCATGTCAGAAATTTGTTTGGAAACACATTCAAAACTAAATAGCCCTTATATATTTTACTTATTTTGACATCAAAATTCAACCCCACGTACAGTTTCCATGTAGCTAGAAACACTTAAATCATTGTTTTCATTTACGTGTTTTTTCGTATTTATGATGGTACATATTAAATTGGAGAAGTTTCTCTGAAAATGTCTTTCCATATGTCTATATATATATACAATATATTCTTATTGCGTATCTAATATATTAAAAGAGAAGTCATAACTCTTTTAATGTGTGATATTTTAAAATTTACCATCTAATAGAATTTATAATATTATATTATTTAATCATTAATTAATAACTTTAAAATTTGTTACCTATAATTTTGTGCTTACCAAAAATTTTATTAGGCTAACAATAATTGGATAACCTATTAGATTTATAGATAGTATGATAAGACACATGTTAAAATTAAATAGATAGAATTTAGTGTTGCAATAATACACCTTCATAAGTTAATTATTTATATATTTGTCGATGTTAACATTTAAAATTATATAGTTTATTTTGTAAAATTAAAAAAATAATCATTTTCTAAAAATGATTAATCTATACTACCTTAAACCAATGAAAATTTTATTTTAAAAAATAGCAAAAACTAAATGTTTAATTATTTACTCCATAATATGAAGCTAAAAGTTTCATTTTTGTTCTAAATTTGATAAATGTTAAAATATCTTTAAAGATGAGAGTAAAACAATATTTTACCAATCTTTACATATATTTACGACTTCAATAATGAAATAATAATCCAAAACAATATATATAGAAGAAGATACAAATACATGTGAAAATTTGAAACAATCTATTCGATGAAAAACTAATATATGATAAAATTATTATCTTTTAAAAACTAATATACATACCTCATTTATATATATTAATTTAGAAGTGAAAAAGAAACAAAGATACTCTCTCTTCCCCGACGGCGATTGGGAAGGAGATTTTTAGGGTTTCGAATGCTTGTTGTATGGGATCTAGGGATTTGGGGGTTGTTCGGAGATCGTGAGGATCAAGGAAAATCACATCTATATCTGGAGAAGAGGATTTGGTTTATTGCGTTTTGGCAAGGATCTTTGGAAAATGGATTCTCGGAGATCTGGTTTCAAGGGAGTAGGGATTTGCTAGCCCTGAGATTCGATAGGATTTGGGCATTACTCGATTATAGGAAAGGGTCGCGGTATTCAGTATCCATGGAAGGAAAGTTTGGGGTTTGCGTCAAAGTGAGAATTTCTTTGTTTGGGAGGGGGTCTGGTATTTGGAGATTCGATTGGCTTGTTGTAGAAGGGAATGAGATTTGCATATTTGATGGGAGATTCAGCTTTGAAGTCCAGATTAGCCATCATTTAAAGAGTAGATATGCTATCTTCTCTTATGGCTTATGGTGGGAGTATAAAAGGGTTCGGTGGTATTTGGGGTTGTGCATTCCGGTTGCTTTATTTTTCTACGAAATTTCCGAGGCTTTCATCTTTTCTCTGTTCTTTGTGGAGATGTCACAAAGTCAACTAGTGAGTGGTGGTGGTGAGGCCAAGGTTGGGGAGAACAAACGGAAGAGGTTGAAAATCTCAGTTGCACACTTCGACAACTCGGATTTGATCCGAAGTTACTCCAGAACTTTAGTCGGGAGATGCATGAACCCGGAAGAGCAAAAAGTTGATTCTCTGCTGGTGATGCTACCGAAGATTTGGAAAATGGAAGACAGGGTGGTGGGGGTCGACTTGGGATTGGGACGGTTCCAGTTTCATTTTGACAATGAGGAGGACATCCTTGCGGTTATGGAATTACAACCATTCCATTTCGATTTCTGGATGCTTTCGTTAGGACGGTGGAAACAACGGATGCCACTTCAATACCCGTCTGAGATTCCTTTCTGGATCAAGGTAATGGGGGTGCCTAATGAGTTTTGGTCGGCGGAGACGTTTCAGAGCATAGGGGATGCTATTGGTGTTACAACGGATGTTGATCTGGATTTTGGCAAGATTAGAGTGGTGATGGATGGTTCTCAGGAGCTGTGCTTTGATACAACAATCGACTTTAAAGGAGGCCGGTTCTATGAGGAGGTGGAAGTTCCAGTCACATTGGTGTATGAGAAATTGTTTGGCTATTGCCAGACGTGTCTCAGCTTGTGCCACCATGAAGACTATTGTCCTTTAAATATAAAGAAGGTGGAGCGGAAAAGAGATTCTCGAGAGGATAGCAAGAGTAGGAATGAGGACAGGGCAAGAAGTTACAAGGGAGTTGTTATAAAAGGTGATGGAGGTTACCCGGAGACTCACAATGATCAAAGGGGTTACCAGGGGAAAGGAAAAGGAAAGATGTATGAGGAGATGGGTTCTAAATGGACTAAAGTCCCTGAGAGAGGAAGTAAAAGAGCCTATTCTAATCGGAGTAGTCGGGGGGAAGAGGGAGGATCCAGGCAAAGGAGTTCCAGATGGGATCAGGTGCGTCATGATACTACTGTTGATCGTGTTAGGTCTCCACGGGGAGACGGTGGCCAACAGCGTCTTCTCGAGAATCAACCTGAAGAGGGAGAAGTCCTTAAGTCTGTACAGGTTCGGGTCGAGGAAGGTGTTCAGGGTTCAACTCGGGCTCAGGTTGAGGATCATCGGGTTGAGGAGATACAAAAGTTAAGCGGTGATGAAGGTATACAACAGGTGGACCAACAGGTTCAGGAATGCCCCTTTGAAGACAACCCTGTCGCTACGGTTTCAGAGAATGGTGTTGATGCTTTTATGGGAAGTCCAACAAAGGATGTTCAGAATTTGACAAGTGATGGGATGGAGCTCGAGGGAGTGGTGTTTAATGAGAGGGGAGGTGAGAAGGAATTAGAGTCTGAGGAGGAGTTTGAGAATTTGACGGA